AAGGAAGGAGAAGGAAGGAAGGAGAAGGAAGGAAGGGGAAGGAAGGAAAAGGAAGGAAGGAAAAGGAAGGAAGGAAAAGGAAGGAAGGAAGGAAGGAAGAAGGAAGGGGAAGGAAGGAAGGGGAAGGAAGGAAGGGGAAGGAAGGAAGGGGAATGAAGGATAGGGGCAGGAAGGCCGGGGAAGGTGTACGGAAGGAGAAGGAAGGAAGGAAGGACGGAAGGGGAAGGAAGGAAGGGGAAGGAAGGAAGGAAGAAAAGGACAGTGCAATCCATGACCTACTGCACATGCAGGCACATTACTTCCACAGTAATGAAAGGACTTCCATGCAATGAAAGGCCGCAAGTAAGTACAGAATTAAAGACAATTCCCTGCGTAACTTCAGACTCCTTCAATGCCTCCCTTCCTTCCCTTCCTTCAATTCCTTCCATTGTATTACCCTCCTTCCTTCCTTCCTTCCTTCCTTCCATCCAACACATCTCCGTCGACCACTCAGTCTCGCTCCCCCGCGGCGAGTGCAACTAAACGAGAACCCAAGCATCGGAGATGCTTTTGGGAAAAAAGTAGATACCTTGTTTTAGAGATATCCCTGATATCCCCCAGCTTGACCCACCCGCAAATAAAGTGAGATCTCCCCAACGTCTCGCCAAGCAGCTCCATCTCACCGATTTTCACTGTTAGGAGACCGGTGGGGCTGCGAGCTCTCTCCAAGACCTCCAGGGCAGGGAGCACTCCTGGAAATGTTGCAATGTAAGGTCTCCCATGGCTGTTCGTCATTTTCCCCATTTTCCCCATGAAATGTTGCTGTTTCGTTTCGGCTTAATCCCTCATTTTCAGGCACGCCCAAAGTTTGGGGACATCCTTGGAGGCTTCTCACACAAGCAGCTAGCCTGCTCCAGAAGTCTACCAAACATAAGGCAGCCTGGATTTCCTATGAAATCAAGAATCCACACTGCACACTGCTATGAGCTACTTCTGCCATTGAGTTCATTCTGCTCATGTTTGACGTATACCCGTCGGTTAATAGACGTGAATAGGATTCCCTCCCACAAAACCCATATAATCATCAATCAACAGGAGTAGATCGCCGCCAGCCTCGTAGAGCTTGTCAATATCCTGTGTCCAGTGGAGGATGTGAATGATTCACAACTATCTCAGTCTGTAGCAACATAGTCTCAAATTCGGTCCCAAACACCCGGATCCGCACCTCTTGCTTGGTCTCTTGACGCTTTCGCATGGTCTCGTTCAAGCGCTTCACCCACCGATCCTCGAAAACAAAAAGGACATGCAAGGGTTGCTGTCAAGAGTAGCCCAAACCAGTTCAAATCGGAGGGTTTCAACAGAAGTGGGTGTAAGTGTGCTCTTGCAACTCTTCAAACAATCATCTGAAGGAAAATCCCCAGAAAATCCCCAAATCCAAAAGTCTGAAGCCTCATCCACTCAAAATCACTGCATCCCTCGCCACACCTCGATGTTGAAGTAGTCGCAAAGCTCTTGGACTTGCGGATCCTCAGAGCGGTGACCAAGGCTGGGACTTTGGGTCCCAAAATGGAGCACCCAACCAATCCACAGATCAGCAATACCCTCTGGTAAACTAACATAACTATGGAAAATCACCATTTTTAATGGGAAAAATCCACTATAAATAGCCATTTTCAATAGCTATTTTGACATAACCAGAGGGTATATGGTGGAAGTGGGTGATATCATCACCCTATATCACCAGATCTGTGGATCCAGTTGACAAGGAGCAATGTCGTCGTCCAGGAGTCCTAGTGCTGGCTCCGCTTCCTTCCTGCAGACCATCCCGGAATTGGTTCAGAAAATCGAAATGAAACGCGTCAAATTTGAGTCTTTCGGGGGTTGAACTACGAAGAAATATGTGCACGTGTGTATGTACAACTATATATACATAGATAATAGATAATATATATATGTATATATATATATATCATAAATAGACTTCACCTCAATTCGATGCAGATTTCTCAGTAAACCCAATTCCAACCTCTTTTCAGAGGCCGCAGAGGCCGCAGCACCGCCGGCAGCGGCAGCTGTGGGCATGGCACCGCCCATTTTCGCCGCCATCCTTGGTGTTCCCTCTGGTATGCCATACCATACCATGCCATGCCACCACACCACCACACCATTTTTGAGGAAAATTTCTCATTAGACTATGGTACAATGTCTTTGGTGTCCTGAACACTGCTCTTAGCGAATTCATGGTCTCCACTGCGGTGAAGACCGTGATGTTTTTGAAACTTTTTGGAGGAACAGTTGGAACATGTGCTCGTCTGACTTTGAGGATCATCCCCAAACAAATGGAGAAAATGACCCTGTTGTTTGTCTTCGTCGCCCAACTGGACTGTCCCATTTACCCTCTGGCTATTTCACAGTTTGCTCTAGTATTAGATGGCCCACAGAGATAGATGATTTATGATGATCGACCTATTAGAAATGCTGACTTTCCATAGCAAACCGTTAAAGAACCATCGCATCAACCAACCATCTGTGGGTCATAATAAAACATAATCCCATTGCCAACGGGGTGTATCCAATTTCATAAACCTCTATTGGGTTAGCTCATGAAGTGGCTGTGAAATCCCATGAAACCTCCAGTTGATCGGTTAAACTAGCATTTTTCCGTGGTGAATCTCGATCTGTTGATGGTTAAACCACCATGTTCCATGATTTTCCCCTGGTTTTCCATGATTTTCACAACAGAAAATGGCCATCAATCCTCGCATCCCAATAGATCCAGGTGCGAAAATACCCAAGGCGCTGCTGCATCATGGCCTCGGGGGTCGCAAGGCTTCACCTAGCTTTGGATGTTTGTATATATATATATACATATATGACATATATATATATGTATATAGAGAGATTATACTCTGTAAAAAATATATACTGTGTATTAATGTTTGTGTGCACCAATATGATTTTTACATGATATAACTATGTAAATATGTTGTGCATCAATATGATTTTACATGACCCCCATAACTATGCTATTCCCATTTTAAGCTCCATTACTACCCAGTCTTTGTTCATGGTAAGCACCCCGCGAGGGCGTCGCGGAGTGTTGTCGTTTTTTCATGTTTGCGTCACTGTCGAAGCATCCATGTCATTCCACGTGCTTCACTGTTTTCTTGTGCGTCGTTGCATTTTCCGCGCTTTCTGCTGTGTGGGTGGGCTAATAACGTTCTTGTTTATTAACGTTCCTGCATCTTCGTTCTTGACACGCTTTTCACTTTTGCAAGTCACGGTTTGACACGTGTTCGATGTTTTCGTTTTGATATGTTGACGTTGGTGGTCGGTGGCGTGTGGGCATGGGGTTGGGTTTGGGGGGATTAGAACGTTCACGTTAACCAGGGTACTTGCAACTACTTCCTTACACGCATTTCTTCTTTGCAATTCATATTTTGCAACGCGGATGATTTCGTTTTTTGTGCGTTGTTAGAAGAGTTTTTAAAATAAAAGGATCTCATGTCTTTCCTTTGGTTAAGACATTTTCGATACGTCTTTGTTGCTTATGTTCGTCTTATATTATATATATATGTACATACTTACATTTGTATCTATATATATATATGTCTATATATGTATTATAAATATATATATATATATATTGTATACGTTGTATATTTCCCAGGTGACGGGTCAGGTCGTCTGGCAGGTGGAGCCACTGCAGCCCCCAATTGCTGCAGTACATCCGAAGTTGGCAGTGGCGATCTCAAGAAAAGAATGACTGTGTCTCACACCTGTCCAAAGCTTTGAAAGCAATGTATGCGCGATAAGGTTTAAAAAAGTTACTTCGGAGACCCCTCTTGGAAGATGCATTTTTAAAAAATTCAGGGAAATGAAGGTTTGAAAGGCGTTGTGCGTTAAAAAACGCGCGACGCCTAGAAGGGGACCTTCCCTTGTTCATCAACAGCTTGGTAGCGCGGTGCCAAGGAGCCATCATCATCATGGGGTTCATGCCTGGCATCATTCCAGGCATCCTGGGCGTCGCAAAGGATGCGCAAGCCAAGCTTGGGCAAGCAGGAAACGCCAGTGCTGGATAGATGGAAGGTAACCAAATGTATAGTGATATACATGGTGTGTATGTGTGTGTGTGTATGTATGTATGTATGTATGTAGGTAGGTAGGTAGGTAGGTAGGTAGGTATCTAGGTATGTATCTAGGTATGTATCTATGTATGTATCTATGTATGTATCTATGTATGTATCTATGTATGTATCTATTTATGTATCGATGTATCTACGTATCTATGTATCTATGTATCTATGTATCTATGTAGGTAGGTAGGTATCTATCTATCTATCTATCTATCTATCTATCTATCTATCTATCTATGTATCTATGTATCTATGTATCTATCTATGTATCTATGTATCTATGTATCTATGTATCTATGTATCTATGTATCTATGTATCTATGTATCTATGTATCTATGTATCTATGTATCTATGTATGTATGTATGTATGCATGTATGTATGTATGTATATTTATACATGAATATGTATGTGTATATATATATACACATACATATATATATACATATAGATATTACATATGTGTAGATGTATATACATATATCTATGTATATTTAGATGTGTATATATGTACATATTCATATACATATATCATATATACATATATTCATGTATGTTTCCCAGTATAGTGAGATGACTTGATTTTTAACATTTCCAAAATCTATTTTCCTTGGTTTATCGCTCCACTCGGGTTGCGCCAACAAGCAACCACATCCAGGCCAGCGCAAGAGCACGTCGTCCTCTAAACCCTGTGTGGAAACGATTTGTTATCACCCCAGTGCAGAATTTGAAACAATGCAAAAGCTGCACTCCTCAAGATTGTACGAAAAAATCCTCCAAAGAGATTCAAACGCTTTCACAATTCACCCCAGGTGGGTTTGTCTGAAAATAGGATGCCCCTAAATCCTCCTAAATCCATTTACCATCATCTTCCCATCACAACTGGTGAGGTCATAGCCCATTTAAAAAGGCATCCCCAGATCTGCCCCGCGCCACGCCAGGCAACATTCCCATGCCGGGCATGCCGGGCATTGCACCCATGGATGGCATGGCACCCATGCCAGGCATCGATGGCCTTGGTCCAGAAACTGGGTATCTTGGTGGCATACCAAAATTGAACATGTGTGTATACATTGTAGTGTGTGTGTGTGTATGTGTGTGTGTGTCTGTGTGTATGTCTGTATGTCTGTATGTCTGTATGTCTGTATGCCTGTATGTCTGTATGTCTGTATGTATGTACGTACGTACGTACGTATGTATGTATATATATATATATATACATGTGTGCATTTCTTGTATATGTATGTATATGAATGTATATGAATGTATATGAATGTATATGAATGTATATGAATGTTTATGAATGTATATGAATGTATATGAATGTATATGAATGTATATGAATGTATATGTGTATGTAGTGCTCTTCATGTGTGTATATAAACTTGTTGTATAAAATATTATACTCTTGTGCATAAACCATCCAGGTTTGGGGTACCTGAATTTCCACAGCCGGTTCCGAATTAAGAGGCATCCGGTGAAAGGGGTAGAAAACAAGCCACTTTGAACGATTTATAATATTTATATGAGAAAATCAGAACCCCCTAAAGAACTTTCTCAGAACTACCAACGTATATACAAAAATCCCAACCACAAATAGTGGTTTTTGGTGAAGCATCCATTCTTAGGGGCCCCATCTGTGCCAGGATGAGTCAAGCTTTTGCCAAAGCACATGGATGGGCATCCACCACAACAGGCAGGTGCTGTGGAACCACTAGCACCTGGGTTCCAAAACAGGGACTGATTTCAGCAAAAATAGCAACCCTAAAAAATAGAATGTGGTAAAATCCCATGAAATTTGCGGTAAAGCACTGGTCTCTCTTTATGAGGCTTGCGATACCCCTTTTCTTATGGCAATTTGAACGGGAAAATGTTTGGGTCACACTCATTGGCCCCCCCAAAAGTGCATGGTTTCAACCAAACAAATTACTGTACCTGCGTGAACGGACCCAAGTTTCATCAAAACCTATTCGTATCGTTTTGTATACCCTCTGGTAATTTAAGATAGCTATTGAAAATGGCCATTTATAGTGAATGTTCCCATTAAAATGGTGGATCTTTCCATAGTTATGTAAACGTTTACCAGGCCGGGTAACAAGTGAAAAATGATGATGAAACCAAAGATTTTGAAGTTTTGACTCTCAAGAATATCCACGAAAAGGCCCAGCAAAAACCATGTATGGTCCCGAAGGTCTTCAATTTTGAAATATGGGTCTGTCGGGAAATTGGGTACCCAGTCAAAAATCCATGCCTTGTCAATGTTATCATCATTTTCCGAATCATCCTGTAGTAATTTTGAGGTAAAAAAAATGCATGTTTGATCAAAGCCATATTTTGACCAACCCGAAAATAAGGCCATGTGGAAATGATTTGCCGAACTAGCCACAATTTACAATGCCGTCGCAGTGAAGTCGTTCTGTCTTGTCCAGATATTAGACCCAAAGCCATACGTGCCATGGTCCAAACATCGTAGATGGGGGCCCCTGGTCATTCCACTATCGTGAACGGGATTCAAATAAAAAATGGTATAGCAAAACCATGCAAAACCATCCAAAACACCAAATAGGGATTGATGACCATCCCCCATATCAATGGATTGGAAGGGAAAATTGTCACCGGAAAGCCCCATCTTGAATGGGAAAATCCATGGTTTCCGGTCACGATTTTCCCTTAAAACCCCCATAAAGGGCACCTGTACCACCTGGCTGGGATTGCCCCAATGGCATCATGGCACCTGCAAAAAGGCGCAGAAAGTGGTTGTTTTTGCTGACGAAAATGATGGGATATTAAACCACATTGTTGATATTTAACCACATTGTTGATATTTACCTATATATATATATACAAACATGATGTATGATATGTGTACATATATATATACACACAAATATAATATATTTTGTATATATATATACACATATTATATATATATACATTATGCAATTGTATACATGGTACTGTAAAATTAGAGGATTCTGGTGCTTTCCAAAAGTTGCGTGGAAACGAATGGTTGAGGCATCCCCATTTTTGCACACGCTGCTTGGCAATCTAACCCCGATCTGTCGAGAACTCTGTTGAGAACTCTGCCAGATTCACCCAGACGCTGAAACTCAAACCGAAACCAGTCGTAACACGCTCATGTGCAAAAAGAACAAATCCAAAACTGGGGGCATCCAAAACGATCCAACATTATCCCAACATGAACCACTGACCCATCAGCCCTCTCTTCCTGGGCCCCCACACCTGCCATTCCAGGCATGCCGGGCCTCGAGAAAATGAGCTATGGAACTATGAGAGAACTGGGAAAATGAGTCATCTTTGACCTGTGGACAAGTATTGACAGCATGAATCCCTTGATTCCCTTGGGTGTGTCAGCCTCACATTCTCCTCACTTTGCCTCGAAGCTGACGCCTCGAAGGTAAGATCCAGACATGCCCATTGGGCCTCCCATTGGCATGCCACAGCCTGGCAATCAGAAAGGGAACGATGTTTGTACCTATTTCTTACGGGCCCTGAGCAGCACCAGAGTCACTACCACTTGGCCAATTTAATTCCCTGCTCCAAGTGCGATTATGATCGGAAAAAGTTCATTGACAACTGCAGGGTATTTCAAAATATTTCAAATATCAAGCCATTCGTAAGGCAAAACAAGTTGGAGGTGCCCTTCCTAGTATCTCTTTACCATTCTTTACCTAGGCAGCCCAAGACAATTACTGCAGGACAGTCACCTGGTGCCGGCGCGCCCGGAGGCGCACTCATGGCAACCCCCCCGAGTCGCTCGATGGCAATGCTCGAGCCGCCAATTTTCGGCTGTGCAGAGAGGTGGTCCTTCGGCTGGATGCTGATGGATGTGTCCATTTTTTGGAAGGATTATATAGGATTATATAACCCCCCATGTTTGGTGATTATGCGGAAAATGCTAGTTAACCTATGGATTTGATGCTTTCGACTAGCAACAGTCTTGAAAGAGGATCGGGGATCCTACTGCTGGAGATTAGGCTTGGTGTGTGGACGACCAAAACATGAGTACCACGTATTAAAGTTCTTCACATGCTTTTTGTTTTTTTTCTGAAAATGGGATATCCCGGTAGGCCCTCTAATAAATCCCAAATCCATTGGTTAATCATCACATTTCCCAACTACAATACCGTATCTACAATGTCCAAAAATTGGACCTTGAAATCAAGGCTTCCAGCCGCTTTCAGCTACATCTTCGACCAAAAAGAGGTCCCCAGCCAGGGCAAACTGCACCGGGGCCGCGGTGATCCCCACAGCACAGCCCACGCGCAATCTAGGCTTCACCTCGATCCCAGGAATGGAAGATCTATGTTGAAGAAATATGTGGATATCTATAAGATATGGATTAATGATATGTTCATATATGATATGTTCAGATTCTATAGATATGATATCCTATTAAGATATGGAGAAATTATGGAGATTAATGGGATGTTTTTCTGGAGATATAAATGGGAGATTCGTGGAATGGAGGATGGGATTGAGCACCATCGTTATATAGTCCCACACAGTCCCACACATGTAGTTTCATCCCCAATTGCACCATGCTTTCAGGATGGGATGGAAAATTGGGGTGCTATGGTATTGAGACACCAAAAATGATGTCGTCGTCGAATATGTGGGTCTCAATGGGAAGACTGACCAGCAACAAACCAACAAGATCTGGTGAGATAGGCAAAAATATCTCCCAGATATCTCTAGCCTCACAAGATCAACTCATCACAAACCTCGAATTTCGGTGATCGGTGATGGGCAGCAACAAGAAGAAATCGCAGATCGCGATTTCAGTTCTGTGGCAAAGGCTCCATGAAACGGCATGCGATGTATCGATAAATTATAGCTAGTTCTGTCCCTGAGAAACAGCAACTCTGCAGGTCAATGCATCCTTAAAACAGCTACCAGAGGGCCGGGCAACAGCTGGCCCGAGGTCGTTGCATTCACCTCAGAACAACGGTCTTAAAAGAGACCACCAACAGCTGATAAGCAACTTTTTCCTGCCGGGCATCGTGCACCAAAAATCCCTCAAATCAATCATGGGTCAAACTTTTTTCACCTTGGTTTGCACCCACCAACAGCTGACAATGATTGAGATTCCGCAGGTTCCCATCGCCAAATACCTTCCACTGAAAGGGTCTCTTCAAAAGATCCATCGTACCCCCCAGGCTCCAAATGTGAACATACCGATTGCTGGCAAGGCGCAGGAGGTGTTGCGCACGCATACAGATGATTCTGTAACTCCCATGGTGAACGCATACGGCTTTTAAGCTAATGACTGAATGTTTCCCATCGTTGATTCATGTTCAAAAATAGTCAGTCAAACCAACTTGACTGAAAGAGGCTATCTAGCCCATGCGTTTGGGACAGAATTCGCTGTACAAATTTTAGGGTTCCTGCTGTTTTCTTTGGTGATACAACGTTCTAGAGGGGTTGCAACCATTTCTGCACCATGTTGAAACCCCTACAAAAATAGGGAACATCGAGAACCCTGAATGGTGGCAAGTGGCTGGCGATGACGCTGAATGCTGGAGGTGGCTTTGGGCAACTATTTGGGGTCGGAAAATCCTGTGAATGGTTTCTTTCTATTGCCATGTTTGATTTCCAAAGGGGCATAGCTGTTATGAATAAAATTTAGCTATGCCTTCACATCTGAAGTTGGCGGAGCTGAGCCACAAAGCAGCTGGCATTGAGCTTTGGCAAGATGGAAATAGCACTGCATTCATCCCTTGTCCACACCCACTGCATCAATGTGCCTGTCACAAGTGACAACGAACAAAAACCTAAGAGGGACATATGGGGATCTGATTCTGCGAAGATTGAATCAGTTACATCAACATCGCATTGGTGATTCGTGATATTCCATTCATTGGTGATTCGTGTGTCAAATCATCCTGAGAAAAAGTATGTCTCTGGAAAATGGATCGTTGACGATTTATTTTTTCAGGATGAATCAACACCTGTGGGACCAGCGGAGTCCAGCGGATCAACGCCTCGTGACACGCCGTTATGATGTGCACCGTCTGACCCTAGGATCTCTAGATCAGCGATTGTCAAAATATTCATATGTGTGCTCACTCTCCCCCAATGTTGCTGACTACCTCTCCTGACTTGGGGTGGCGGGTGGTGACTATCATAGTTTTGACCCAAAATTTCACTAGCTGACTATGCTGTCATGGGAATTTCCTGACCAATTATCCACCAACAATTCCCGACGCTTCCCATTCTGCTTAAGGTGCGAAAACACTTTTCATCTGCTCGCTGTTGCGAGTCTCAGATCTATGAACTGCCCCTGGGTTTCCCCTGATGGCACACAGCAGGGTGTCAGTTGCTTAGACATGTTCTGATGAAAATGGACAACTTTGGGAATGAAAAATCTCCATGAAAAGGCCGGTTTGCCGTATTGGCTGGTGTCATATTCATAACCCAACAAAACCTTTGTCTACACAAACTCACAAATTTGGCATTGAAGTGATTCTGCAAAGAACATCTTCACGAATCACCAAGCGAGTCACTCCGGTTGCACTTCTACATATAGGTCGAACGGGTCAATTGTTGGAATAGTTTTCTTTTGGAGGATTGGAGCCTGACCTGATCCGAGGATGTCAAATACTATCTGGAATCTGGACACATCTGGACACCAATTAACACCAACGTCCACCCTGCCGGTGGCCTAGCCGTGCCTGCGAAGGGGTCGCAACCCCAGAGGCGGCTTTGGCCCGGAGGTCGCAAACCGCTCGCAGACACACTGAAGCAGGGAGCCCCCGGTGGTGCGTTGGCCCTGGGGGAAATGGGGCCTGAGGGAAATGGACAACGGGGAAATGAGGCAATAGTCAGCACATCATCCTCAGGGTACGAAACTACTATTTACTTTTTCTTCTTCTTCTTCTTCTTCTTCTATTTACTTCTTCTTCTTCTTCGTCTTCTTCTTCTACTACTACTACTACGACTACTATTTACTACTACTGCTGCTGCTGCTGTACTTCTACTACTACTACTACTACTCCTACTACTCCTACTACTCCTACTACTCCTACTACTCCTACTACTCCTACTACTCCTACTACTCCTACTACTCCTACTACTCCTACTACTCCTACTACTCCTACTACTCCTACTACTCCTACTACTCCTACTACTCCTACTACTCCTACTCCTCCTACTCCTCCTACTCCTCCTACTCCTACTGCTACTACTACTACTACTACTACTACGACTACCACTACTACGACTACCACTACTACCACTACTACCACTACTACCACTACTACCACTACTACCACTACTACCACTACTACCACTACTACACTACTACCACTACTACCACTACTACCACTACTACCACTACTACCACTACTACTACTACTGCTGCTACTCCTCCTCCTCCTGCTGCTGCTACCACTACCACTACCACTACCACTACCACTACCACTACCACTACCACTACCACTACCACTGCCACTGCCACTGCCACTGCCACTGCCACTGCCACTGCCACTGCCACTGCCACTGCCACTGCCACTGCCACTGCCACTGCCACTACTGCCTACTGCCCTACTACTACTACCTACTACCACTACTACTACTACTACTACTACTACGACGACTACTACGACTACTACGACTACTACGACTACGACTACTACGACTACTACGACGACTACGACGACTACGACGACTACGACTACGACTACGACTACGACTACGACTACGACTACGACTACGACTATACGACTACGACTATACGACTACGACTATACGACTACGACTATACGACTACGACTATACGACTACGACTACGACTACGACTACGACTACGACTACGACTACGACTACGACTACTACCACCACCACCACCACCACTACCTTGCTCCAACTCGTCTACTCCTCTTTCCTTCCTCCCTTCTTTCCGAAGTAGTACACTGGTAATGCCGGTAGCTAATGATGCTGCCTGCAGCATTACCGTCATCTACAGGTACTCGTCACAGGACGCACACCCTACTGATCGACCAGTACTTATTAGGTATGCGTCCCATTGGTTGTTCAAGCACGCACTTGCTACTCAAGCTGCTTCTGATCTACGGCTCTGTCTTCGTCTCTTCTTCTCTCACAGGGTTCCACCTAGCGTGCACGTCAACCTCCCTTGGGGTAATCTCTCTCCGCTTCCACCCTGTCTCCTTCCATGCAGCGTTCTGCTGTCAAGCCAGAGGCTCATACATAGTACCTGGCGCTACTTTGCTGCGGGCGATACTAATTTGGTATACGGTCAATAGGTTGTTACAGCAAACCTTGCTACACAAGCCGCTTCCGTTTTACGGCTTTGTCTTCGTCTTCCTCTCTTATTCTTCTTATTCTTCTTCTTCTTCGTCTGATTCTTCTTCGTCTTCTCCTTCTTTTCTCTTCTGCTCTCTCGCGGGCTTCCACCTAGAATGCACATCAAACTCCCTTGGGGCCACCCCTCTATGGCCGGCGGCCTTGCCGAAGGCAATTAAATATTGACCTAACCGGCCTCCTGAGGTCGACAAGAGTTTCATCATGCGTCATTTTTGATGCCCGGATTTGACGGTACACACTTATGCAACACAACCGGAAGCCACTCTTGTGTAGATTGCTCAGAAATATCATGTATCAGGCTGCCAAAAGTCTCTCTTCCAGGATATACCCCAGAGTTTCCCGTGTGGCTTTTGACTGTAAACCGACCCTGAAAACTCTCCACATACTCTGGGGGCTCCACACATGTCCACCGTTAAATCATGTTTCGTGGCTCAACCGGAGAACGTCTTCTGCGTCTCCCACCATTAGCTTCGGTGACTTTGCCACACGCTTCAGGGGAGTCTTGTGCTCCAGTGACGCCCAGTGGCCCATGCCGTGACCGTTAAGAGACTGGGATGGTACCCTCCAACTGAAGGATTCCATGAACTGAATTGAAACCTTGGCCCTCAGCCATATGCATGGATATATATATAGAGAGAGAGATATGTATACACATTATAGTGTATATATATATACATATATATACATATATATATATACATATATATATACATATATATATATACATATATATACATATATATATATACATATATATATATTACATACATATATATATATAATTACAAATATTCATTACTTTGTATTGCATTGCATTCCATTACACGAAGTGACGTCATTTTACGTCATGTTACATTACATCGCATTTACATACTATAAGATCTTGCAGCGCATAGCCAATTATCAGTTGATGATCTCGTTGCGTCGGATTACCAAGGTTATGCCGTGAATTGCAT